AGAATAATCTATACACTGGTGTTCACTATAGCCTTTATACGATAAATATACAATAAATTGAATTTGCCATTCTAGAATTTTATACTTTATGCATGAGTAAGTTTTATGTTTGTCATTTCTGTTGTCTTAATGTCATTTGAATATTGACATTATGTGATATACAGTTTGCTATAGACCATGGTAAATAAAATAAGCTATTGTTAACCAAGTCCTCATTGATAATTCAGATACAACCTGGGACATTACTCTAGCGTGTTTTGCTGTACTGGGAGAGTTTAGTACAGGACGGGTGGCATGCAACTGTGCGCCATTGTTTTTACGGGGGTTGAATGGCTGAATGGTTAGCACGTGCGCGCTGTATCATAAAGTCTGTCATTGAGTCAACTGGCATGGTTTTGAATCCCCGGTTGTACGTGACAAGGACTAGGGTCGCCTGTCCAACCTCGTGGGTTTCTCTGGGTCCTCCGGTTTTCTCCCACTGCTAAAGACCCCTCTGCGCAAGCAAGTTATTGAAATAAAATTAAACCATATGTTAGTCCCGAAATGACCTAGTTTGTGTGTGTGTGTCTCTCTCTCGCTCTCTCTCTCTCCATTGTTTTTACATATTATAAATTTGTGCTCTGCCAAGACCTCCATATGTTGCCTGGGTTCAGTATAGTATGCCATTCAGGCGTTTTAAAATTTGGGTGATCATTAACTTTGTCAAAAATAAATCCCATAATTTATCCAGACTACCTGGTAATATTGGTAGAATTTATTTCTGATTGATAGAGTATATCTAGTAGCATGCCGTTAGTCATCATTGAATAAACAATATTCATATTTCATCGAGTCTTTTGTGTTACGATCGATCAAATTTAATTACTACCTTATTCATCAGTCTTTTAACTACAAAATGACTAGTTAAATGTCGTTAACGAAATAATAATAAATATGTTTAAAAATTCACCAGTACAATTAGGTCTTGTCCGGTTGCCTTGGCAACTATAAGAATAAAAAACATGAAATACGAGATTGTATCTTTTTATGAAAAAAGATAGAAAATACATTAGTTTTATCACCGGAATACTCGGTTTTAATAAATTTCATAAATGAAACGATATGAAGCATTGTATAAATAATCCATTAGAAGCCTAGGCGTGTCAGAAAGTAATCAGAGATTTTTCAGGTAAAATGACTTTTTTCAGCCGTCTTAATCATGCAGAGTTTCAAACGCATCTTTCGTTAGAATCATTATATATCAGTAAATATTCAATATGTGTTTCGTGTCAATTTTTCTGAAAATCCCAAATTTTACATGGCTTCATTCACCCACACTAAAACATACTCAAATTGATTATTTAACATAGTTAAACATGCATTATGCAAGAGCAAAATCTGCTTATTACAAGTCTTTCTTTAGGCCTGAAATGTTATCTAAATTATCAATTAGACATTAATTAACTTATCCAGACCATAATAAACTCTCGATGTCAAGGCTAGCCTTCGATGTTGGCTGGATTAGATTCCTATATGCCGCTAACGGCCGTTGATAATTAAATCAAAAAAAGTGGATAATCGAGACTTGCTGTTTATATTAATGATTTTAGTAATGATGACAGAGACTATGCCAAAATTTCACGAGCTTATTTCTCGGCTCATGGTGGATCAATTTGACTGAAATTTTCAGCAAATTACCTTTACACTATCTAGTTTTTAACTATTATAGCGAGAACTGCCATCTCGTTATCTTATCTCCCATAATGTATCTTTAAGAAAACAAAATCAGATTATCAATTCAGTAAATAATTTTTCAGATTAAAAAAAAAAATGGGCTCCATCCTCAAAATATTTCATTGAAAATCATAGTTGGGCTGACTTGTGTTGACTATAAATCAGTTGCCGTTGTGTCTGTCATCAACAAATTATTCCTCTTGTCAGTCTTGATCAATTTGAAAATCTTGTGGATGTTCTCGAAGCATGTTCTAAGTCTGTTTGACTTATAAGAGATAAAGGTTGTTGAATTTTTAATGATTTGCGATAATTACTTCTGGAGTTATTGCCTTTGATCAATTGATTGTACATTAAGTTTATGTCCGTGAGACTATAAGACCATAGACCAAAATATTAATAATATTAACGGAATTTATATTGAGCAACAATTCATCCCACTTGGGGATGGTCTAGGCGCATGATAGTATTCACATGGGTTAATTATAGTGACTAAACAGCCAGGTTTTTGCACTTGATTTGAAGATAGACAATGTTTCACATTTTCAAATGGAAGGTGGTAGCTAATTCCATACAATTGATGCATTATACTGAAAAGTTCTTGAATCAAATTTCTTCATCTTATAAACCGGTACATCTAACAATAATTTACTCTCGGATCTCACTGACCTTTTGGGTTGGTAGTGTGTCGAGAGATTCTGAAGATATCTTGATACTGTTTTATTTAATGTTTTGTATGTCAGAGTTAAGATTTTCAAGTTAATTCTCTTGCGCACTCGGAGCCAGTGAAGGTTATTTAAGACGGGACTGATGTGTGATTTTCATCTAGCTTTAGTTACAATGCGTGCAGCACGATTTTGGATCCTTTGCAACTTGTTAAACTTGCATCTACCAAAGTATTGTATGCACTAGACTATAATCCCCATTCTTTTCCTTTCCTGTTCATTTGTTTGTGGGGCTTAATGTCATCCCTGAGGATGATATCTCATATAACTTTTTCATTCCTGTAAAATGAGCAGAATCTATAGAATAAACGAGACCCATGTAAGAAATCTGTATACATCTGTTTTAAAAATATAAGATCATTAGCCGTAGACTCTATATATATATATTTAGCAAGTAGGTAATGATGGAGATAATATATATAACGTTGGAGGTAAAATAAAGGGCATGGGACCTTCTTTATCACCCTTCTAGTTTTCTACAACTACTTTGGTGTCTGAATGTTAAATAAAAAAATAATTATTTATTTTTATTGTCTCTGAATGTTATTTGAGTGATGAGGAATATTGTGAACATTTAATCTTGAATTCTGCGAAATATTTACTATTGGCATTAGGCAAGTTTAGCTCTTGCATAATTGTTTCTTAAAGGGTATAGTTGTCTAATGCCTACGCATCTGTTATCTTTGGATTTCATAAAGATGATCACGGGCTTCAACGTGACGAGTTGTCATGTATTTTCTGGTTTCCTTCGAGTCGAAAGATGCCTGGTTTTTAAACGCTGTTTCTATCTATCTTTACCAAGAATGATAAGATGAAAAATGCCTTTTAAAGAAAACAAACAATTACAGATGGAAATTAGAGTTCCTATTCCCTTGATTTATATTCTCCATCCCACTCACCTCCATCACCACGTATGACATGCTAATGAAGAAGAGGAGCTGCTCATTAGTGTCTGTTACTCCTGTCCAGCAGTTTAATAAATAAAAAAAAAAGACAAGGGAACTGTTCTAATGATTCTATCTATCCAGTGTCTTCATTAACAGAGGTAGCTACAAATCAAGTAATTCAACTGAGCATTTCTTATGTAAAATATATTACCATACATATTGCTGTCAAAATGACATAAAAACACATTTATCAAATATATCATACATGTTTTGAAACAGTTAGATAGTGTAGCTCGTTTAATTTGAATACAGGTATCTATCTCATCCAATCATATACTACTTACTAGGTTAATTTGAATAAAGATATTTTAATTAACCTATTAAAGTCTTATCCAGTCATATACCTCACTTACCTGTACTAGGTTAATTTGAATAGAGATATTAATCTTATCCAATAATATACTACCTGCAAGTTCTAGTTTAATATTACTGAAAATATTAAAGGAGCTAAATCGCTAACATTTCGGACCTAGAAATTCACAAAAGTGGGTCGCAACGCATATAATACTGTAATATGAATGTATATAAACTGATTTACATTTAATGGTTTCAGTTTTTTACTCCAATTTCAAATCAGTGATGTTCGGCGAAATAAGTCAGCAATCTCAATCGAGTGCAAATTTCTAGCGTCTAGTTATTCTAGTCTACATAACTCCATTTGATTTGGTGCAATGTGTCTAGCCTCGTCCCTCGAGTCTCTCAATACAACTGGGACTGAAGCGCATTGTGGTACACGATTCGTGTACCAATGTTAAAAAAATTATTTTATCTTAAATATCGGATATCAGAAGCTCATCTTTTCCCGGTAAGTTTACATCATCAATGTTGATTTAAATTGACCAATAATTCGTGTTTTCGATGTCGAAGATTTTGGAGGATTTTGAGTTACGGACTTAGGTCCTTTAATCTTATCCAATCACTAAGTACAATTAGTTCAGCATAAATAGTTTTCTTTGTAAACTTCCCAGTTATCTTGAAAATGACATCCAGTGTTCTATGAAGAGAATTGCATTCTGCCTGTCTCGTGAATGGCATCTGTCATTAACCACTAGCTATGTGAACTTTTCATTTATCTGAGAAGTGGTAACAGGTGTTCTATAAAGAGAACTCGCGTTCTGCCTGCCTAGTGCATGATATCTCTTACTGACAAAACTATTATCTTTGTGTTTGTGAACTTAACAATTATCTGAGAAGCAAACACATGCCCCATACATCCTATCAGTCATCAACACAAATTGCATGATAATCTAAAAAAAACAAAAAGGTGATAGTTACTGATATCTGTACATTTCTGTAAAATAAAATAATCTGACATTCCATAGGAAGAAAATATTCCTGTATGAATATTATCTTGTGCGTGAAAAAAAAAGAAAGAAATCCTATGATGGAATGTAGTAAGCCAAAGCAAATAATGACAGCCAATTTGAATTTGTCTGTGGTAGTATTGTTGATGGAAATCATAGTTGAATATTATTGATTGAAAATAACTTGTTTTAATCAGGTTATGGAAATTTCTAAGCTATGATTGAAAATATGAATTGCTTTTTGTTAGAATTTTTAAGTTAAATTGCTAGACTCTAAATGTTATTTTGATTTTTTTTTTTTTTTTTTTTTTTAGCAATGTAAGGGTAAAGTTCAGCGTGCTGTATTATATGTATCTGGTGATGCTCTTCGTGTGGTCGACGAGATTAGTAAGGTAAATAAAATATGTATAAGTATATTTCATATTTAGTAACATAGCCTGTTCTACTTCCTGGGCCTGTATAAGTTAATGGCAAATATTTGAAAGTTTTGCACAGCAGAGATTAGAGCTGTAAAATCAACCTTACAGTGGAGTATGACAAGGTGCAAGCTTTCTATGAGAGGGGGGGGGGGGTCCAGGGACATACTCCCCTAGAGATATTTTTGAATATAGAGTCCCTGAAATGCCATTTCCTGTTGTTTTTATTTTTGGGTGGGGGGAGAGAATTTGCAGAATTGTTATGGCCAGAAAACACTTTGAGTATTATGCATGGGAATTCATGTTACTTATTAAGAATTTTGCAAGAAAGTACACAATACTGTGAATCTGTGACAACTTATGAAAGTGATAATTACATCATTTACATGGACCTATATCGTCAATATTTTGTTGTAGTTAATATACATAAATTAACAAAGATATGACTATATCCTCATATTTTCATCAAGCTTCCGCGCTTAATCAAATTTGATCACTTTACGCCCCTATGTTGGACTACTGTAACCAGTCTAATATAATTTATTATTTGTGATAATTTTGGTATATTTCTTTCAGAGTATGATAGTTGACCAAACAATTGAAAAAGTTTCGTTCTGTGCCCCTGATCGTAACCACGAGAAGGGCTTTGCCTATATTTGTAGAGATGGAACCACCAGACGATGGATGTGTCACGGCTTTATGGCCGTCAAAGAGACCGTAAGTGTCAGTATGATTTTTATATTTTTTCTGTTTTGATGCTTTACAATCGCCAACCATATTTGAGGACTCTACCATCCAATTTGTGTACGCCAAGTTCGTAACCATGGAATAAAAAGGGAGGTAACTGTTAAAAGTTTTGAAATTTCTTTTTCTTGATATTAGATTTTGTGCCGTTCATGTTCTCACATTATCATTTGTCTTTTCTTTCTGGTATTTGCTGCTTTTTTTTTTTTTTTTTTAAATTTCTTTGAAAATTTTTCTATTTTTGGTTTTTATACAGGCATTTTAATATTTTTATTATTTTTAATAGTTGATATTTTACCCTTACTTGTTTTATTTACGCGTCAAATTTCATAAAGCAGCGAAGTTTTTTTTTTGTTAGTTCAATTTAATTCAGCATGATTATTAATTTCAACAAATAGTTTGGGTAAATAATTATGATTGTAATTATAATTTTTTATATTTGGTACATTTTTGCGATGTAAAGAATGGAGTTGATCTGATTATTTCTATAATATTTGAATGTTGCATGTTAAAAAATCGGTCATTTAACTTGCGCGAAAAAGATACATTAAATTAGAAAAAGTTCATCTTAAGTTTTATTTAAACACTATCTTCAAGCTTCATGTGTTTATTTTTACAACAAAAACTTTCAACACCCTCACCACCACACCAACCTAAATTGATTCTTTATATACTTTTTGGACACCAGTGTGACACAATTGAATTTAATGGATAGTAGGGTTTTCAGTATGGGTATTAATCTGTCTTATCTTTTAAAGGCTGCTATTTCTAAGATATTTTAAAGATTGAACCTTTCCCAAATACTGTTTTTTGTTGTTTTATTCCATAGAACCCCTTCTTTCACATCTTTAAAAAAGGATATCTTTGATTCATCTTTTCTTCACATTCATGCAATTTTTTAACACTTTTCCCTAAATTTATTGATGGTTTTATCTTAGTTAGCGAAAATGACTGTAAATTGACACCCAAGGCCAGATTTTACATGCTATTTGATGAAAATTAAGTATAGTCAAAAATCGCTTGTTTTAATAGTTATCTAATTACATTAAAACATTATTTTTATGACGGTTCTTAAACTTGATATACTGGAAGACAGAATTCTGCTTTTCCTTATAAGAAATGAACCAAGCACATTCCACCTGTCAATGTCTAGTAAATACAAGTCAAAAATAACCTGTTCATTGTTTATCAGATATTTACCCTTGATTAATTCAATGCTATTATAACAAAATGATTTTTTATTGAGGTTCAGGACACAATATCATTAGATCTCAACAAGTTTAAACCCTCAATCAGAGTTTATGACCAGATCTGTTCTGTCAAGTGTTCACTTATTAAGACATGTGCTTCTTCTGTCGCTATATAATAGTGTTATTCTGGGCCTACTTAGAACATCAACTAATAAATTATGCCTTTTGTTTTTTTTTGGACTGGTAATGTCATTAACTGATAACGTATTAATAAATTATCTTCAGAGATCCTACAACCCCTTCTCCTTATCTGATCATGGTTTTTAAATGGTGATCTCCTTTAAGACTATCACATTGATTCTTAAAAATAGCAGCCTGATTCTGTAATTGGAGTCTTACTTTAAAACATTTCTTCAGTAAAATGGCTAAAAAAAAAATTTGTGATTTGGATGATAATGTTCATTTGTACGTGGTGCATCAGAATTACATCCTGTCTTCAACGATTACAATCTAATAGAAAATGATTTAGCTTGCATTTTAGAGATAGAATCGTTTTTGTGGGGTACTGAAATTGTTTTCTTATATTTCCACAGTTGCTGGAAAGCTGAATGTTTTAAAATAGGATTCCAATTACTGCCAATAATTACAGAAGAGAATTCTAAAGGAAGTAACTTCTCTTTCTGTTTTTGTGTTGGATAATTTAGACTCTTCCCCTGTAAATGTTGCTTGTTTGCAATTTTTATGATTTGCATGTAGATTATTGAATTAGAATTGCCGGGAAAACACTTTTCTTGACAACTGAATTCTGTGAATTTTTCAAAATAACATTCTGACATTTTGGTAAATAAAGTTACTTTTTTTCCATTCACAAAATCTTCCGTGTTCTGAAAGCTATCGTGAAAGAACAAACAATTTTGTTTTCTTAAACAAAAAAATATTTTATTTAGCATTTAAACTCCATATACCTGATGTATATCTGCCGAGACCTAAAAGCGCTGAATGTGTTCTTGTTATTTCACGATAGTCTTAAAGAACAAGTGAACAGAAATCGCTGTTCGGAATTAAAGTCATGATACAGAAATCAAAACATTTCAGATTTTAATTAACTGGAAAGACTGGTTGTTTCACACAAAACTTTCTGTAATTAGTACAAGATTTCTGTGATCTTTTATAATATTTTGTTTGATTTACCCTTGACCTCACCTTGTAGAGAAAAACAACCATCTCTTTTTTTAATTACATTAGCACAAGCCATTTAGTGGTATTTATAATCTGGTTAGGAGACTGATAATGACCACGTTAAGATTCATCAGCTGGGTATTATTATATCACAGGCTACAGTGTAATATGATATACTATGATAATGACTAATTATATGTTACGTTCTTTATGATATATGTATATACTTGTCCACATGATGTATATATTTATATATACAGGTATTTAAGGCCACTATAAAGAAATAATTTGTTTGCTTAGACCTGTCAGTACAGAAAAGTAGGAAATTAAACCCAATTTCATTTCATTTGTTTGCATTGGCAGTGTAACAAGTATTTGTTAAAGGCTCAATACCACTCTTGTTGTAACTGAATAATATGTCCTAATCTTTATTCTGCTCAACAAATTGTACTATTTTAGAATACTTCAATTAATTGATGATACAAATTTCATCTTAACACACCTTATTTAAAAATTTTGAAAAATTCAACATAATGGTTTGAAACGTCTAACGTAAACCTTTTCAAATGAAACTTCGATTTAAAAATATTTTCGAACCCTCTGGACAAGTAAAATAGGATGTAATGGATAATTTACACAACAGGTAGAACACTTAAACATCTAGTACTTAGATAGAGATATTTTTTATTTTCTGGAGCTTTCAAGCCAGCAAGAGTGTTATTGTCCCTTTAAGAAGAGAGTGTCAATCCAGGAACTTGATCTTGATTCTGAATTAAAAAATTTTCACATGGTTACATCCCTTTTTTGACTGAAGGGTGTAGCTTGTCTAACTATGTTAGAAGAATAGGATTCCAATCAGGTGAGGGGGGTTGGATGGCTGAATGGTTAGCGTGCGTGCGCTGTATCATAAAGTCTGTCATTGAGTCGACTGGCGTGGTATCAAATCCCCGGTTGTACGTGACAAGGAGTTGGGTCGCCCGTCCACCCTCGTGGGTTTTCTCCGGGTCCTCCGGTTTCCTCCCACTGCTAAAGACCCCTATGCGCAAGCGAATTATTGAAATAAAATTAAACCATATGAAAATTTGTGCATTATAAATATAAACTATTATCATTAGAAGGACCATTTTCCTGTCTCATTGATATGGTTTTGATAAATATTTTCCGGATTAGATAACTTCATATCTAAGGGAACAAATTGTGTGTGTAACACATGAACTTTAGATATTAAGGTCTGTGTGTTGTACAGTTCTCTTACTATTAAATCAAGAAGACACATTTTGATCCCAAGTCTATATAAGTGACACAGAGTTGGGTCATCAGCCTAACCTTGTAGGGGGGGTTGGATGGCTGAATGGTTAGCGTGCGCGCACTGTATCATAAAGTCTGTCATTGAGTCGACTGGCGTGGTTTCGAATCCCTGGTTGTACGTGACAAGGAGTAGGGTCGCCTGTCCAACTACGTGGGGTTTTTCCGGGTCCTCCGGTTTCCTCCCAATGCTAAAGACCCCTGCGCGCAAGTGAATTATTGAAATAAAATTAAACCGTATGTTAGTCGCAAAATGACCTAGTTTGTGTCGAGTGGACATTAACCTCATTTCTCTCTATCTCTCTCTCCCTAACCTTGTGGGTTTCCTCCAACTGCTAAAGACACCTATGCGCAGGGAAATTAAATCCAAATCTATCTATCTCTCAGTAGCTTAGGTCAATTAAAAAGTATTCTTGGGAGACCAAACCCCTGGCCTGCTGTCTTGGAGCTTATGAAAATGTTTAATTCAGGAAGTTACATGTAGTGATTAGGTTTTAGGATCAAGCCCTCTCCTTGGCAAAATCAAGTGCATACACCAATTTATTCAGTTCAGATGGCATAATTTTTCCTTTCTGCAAGCAAATTATTTTTTAGTGGTAGCCTTTATGTCTGTATTACATGTTTGTGTTAATGTCTGATTAAGGGACCATGCTGTTAATACTTATAAGATATTATCTTACACTACTGTTACCTTATGGTTTGACCCTTGATCTTTGACCACACATACTAAACTAGAATATCCTAGATTTGAAATATCTCTGATTAAACTGGGTTAGTTGGTTAAAACATAGAAAATAGATTTCCCCCTTTTCTAATTTGTACAATTTTGTTCAAGTCAGATTTGACAAAAACCAGGAGTCACGTGTAGGGTATGCAAAAAATCTCCCGTTGTTAGGATTCGAAGAGTGAACGGAAACGTTTTGACTGACTGGCCGTCAATTTACATAAAATGAAATTAGAATTTCAAAGAATTTAATAGTTTTAATGTCTAAAAACACTAAAGAATGTATAAAAGATTGAGATTATGTTAAAAATTGTCCTATACATTGAAAAAAAATCTTGCCAATCCAAGGTAAACTAAAAACATCAAAAATCATTAGGCTGGCAGAATTGTGAAGTGAAAGCCCTGGTGCAAACTCCAGTACCAGTCAATATATTGATGCAACTAAGGTTATTGAACCAAGAGTTCTCAATAGCAGTATGTTGAAAAGCCCAATAATTCAGAATAATCAATATAGACAATAAATAGCAGTTGCACCAATTACCACATTGGTCCAAAATATCAATACTGACAAGTTTTAGCCACCTAATTTTAGCTTAAAGATACATTATGGGAGATTCGATAACGAGTTGGCAGTTCTCACTATTACTTAAAAACTAGATAATGTAAAGGCAATTTGCTGAAAATTTCATTCAAATTGATCCACTATGAACCGAGAACCAAGCGATTTAAATTTCCGCCTAGCCTCGGTCATCATTACTAAAGTCAGTACGATAAACAGCATAGTCTCGATTATCCATTTAATCGTTAAATCGTGAAGGAAAGTTATGCAGTAAATCGGCTCATAATTCACTAAAGATCGCAGGCTAGCATTGCCATTAGAGTTGATTATGGTCTGGATAGGTTAATTAATGTCTAATTAATAATTTAGATAACATTTCAGGCCTAAAGAAAGACCTGCAATAGACAGATTTAGCTCTTGCATAATGTATGTTTAAATACTGTCTATTAAACTGTCTTCGTTAACCCAGTCTTGGCAGAACAGTAGGATGTTAAACTCCATTTCATTTCACACTGCCATCATCATTTCTATATTACTATCTGAAAAAAAACAATTCTCGATAAATTCAAAGTTAAATAGCGAACAATTTAAATCTTTCAAAAATCCCAGTCTACTGGACAGTCAGCAAATATTTACTGTAGTGAGTTGGGTTCGCATCATCAGTCAGAATTAATTACCTTTAAGTAGTTTATTAACTACATCAAAAGGGAAGTGACTTACTCTTAATTAAAACAAAATCCATAGACAGACATATTAACAGCATGGTCTCTTTGAGTTGTCCAGAACGGACTATAAGACTTGGAGCACTACACTTTATTGTCAAGCTTTATATTGTTATCAGGGTGAGAGATTAAGTCATGCTGTAGGCTGTGCTTTTGCCGTCTGCTTAGAAAAGAAACAAAAACGTGATAAAGAAACTGGAGTAACCGTCACCTTTAGTCAAGACAGAACAAGCTTTACGAGAACGGGATCTTTTCGACAGACATCTTTAACTGAACGTTTAGCAGATCCTCAGAGTGCAATATTAGCAGGTAATGTATATCCTTTGATCTGTTAATTGGTTCCAATCCTTTATAGCAAAATTATTAACTTTTTAGTTTCCATAAACTTTAGTCATTAATGGAGAAATCTTCAAAATAATAAACCAAGAGGTAACTGTCCATTGACTTGAAGTACACAAATTGATTTCAACAAAATAGGAGCAGTGGTTTTCTGATTGATTTTTGGTTTTGTTGGTTCTAATCCTTTAGAGCAAAATTATGAATTTTTAGTTTCCAATAAACTTTAGTCATTAATGGAGAAATCTTAAAAATAATAAACCAAGAGGTAACTGTCCATTGCTGAAAAATAATTTTCCTTGAGCTTGAACCCCTCTACAAATCTTGAAGTACACAAATTGATTTCAACAAAATGGGAGCAGTGGTTTTCTGATTGATTTTTGGTTTGTTGGTTCCAATCCTTTACAGCAAAATTATTAAATTTTTCGTTTCCAATAAGCTAAGTCATTAATGGAGAAATCTTAAAATAAAGCAGGAGGGTACGGGTACCTGCCCACCTGAGGGAAAATCATTTTCCTTGAGCTGGCACCACTCTCTAATTACATAAGTCTATTTTGACAAATAGATAGCAGTGGTTTTCTCAATGAGTATGGCGTTGGTTAACAAAACGTGATTCACAGGTTCAATCTCTTTACTGGCCTAGAAAAACTGAGGATCGGTCTATTCCATTGGCAGCTAGTTATTTAAAGATCTGGAAATTGGAAATAAAAAAAAAAAAGAGTAGTGACACTGTCAGTACCCCCATGATAAACTCGAGCTTAATATATTTAGTTTGGGCCTTTTGATATTGATCACTTTGTTTCTGCTTCTAAAAATAGCTGAATAAAATTGGAAATCGAAAAAAAGTAGGCTATATCGATGCTGTTGAAACACCACCCGTGATAAACTCAAGTTTAATGAATTTAGTGTGTACTTCTAGAAAAAGCTGGAGCCACGGTGGCTAAGTGGGTAAGACGCTGGCTCGATCCCTGCATTGGCCGAGAAAGTTCTTTGGGATTTTCCAACGTAGTTTCTCCTTGTCAGTGTGCAGGACGGAGGGCCTGACAAAGAGAACTGTCTAGTCATTCAGATAAGACAAAAAAAATAGAGGCCCCATGTATACATTAGCGTACATGTAAAAGATCCCTTGGCAGTTGGAATTCGATGTAAGAGCAGGTCATAGTGCCGCTGCCCAGGCAAAATTTCCCTCATAGCACACTTTATGGTGTATACCTGTCTTCATTAGCCCAGTTCGGAGCAGAACAGTAGGACGTTAAACCCCATTTCATTTTAATTCTTGTCCTAGGGAAATTGAGGTCCAGTATATACCATTGGCAGCTGATTAAATAAAGATCTTGGGGAAATTGGAAATAAAAAACAAGAGTAGGGCTGTAGCGATACTGTCAGGACAATATTTTTCCCTTGATGAACTCGATGTTTAATAAATTTAGTGTGTGCTTCTACTCTAGAAAAAGCTGGCTTGCTATCAACAAGATCTTGAGTTCGTTCTCTTTCTTGGCCTAGAGAAACTGATCAAAGATCTTGTTGAAATTGGAAATAAAAAAAAAGAGCAGGGCTGTAGCGAGACTGTCAGGACAATAATTTCCCCTTGATAAACTCGAGTTTAATGAATTTAGTTTGAGCTTTTTCATATTGATTGCTTCGTTTGTTGTGCTTCTAGAAAAGGCTGAATAAAGACGTTAACAAAGTCTTGTGTATGGTCTACAACATCAATAATGCATTGTTATAAGTTAAGGAAGATGATAGGAAGAATTTGACATGTTTAAATTATCTTCAGATCACATGTTGACTGTAGGGTATTGATTATATTGATTGTCATGACGATAAACTAGTGTATATATACATACAGACGTCTTGTACAGGAAACTAACCTACGTCTGTAATGATATAGACTTTGTTAAAATGAGTAACTCAATGTCTCTCTGACCAGGAAGGTCCTTTCCTGCATGGTTCCCCCTTGTCAGTGATACAGCTGTCTAGTCATTCGGATGGAACAAAAAACTGAGGTCATGTGTACACATTGGTGTGCACGTAAAAGATCCCTTGGCAGGTGGAATTCGATATAAGAGTAGGCTGTAGCGCCACTGTCCGGGCAAAATTTCCCTCATAGCCCACTGTAAGGCATTTCCCCGTCTCCATTAGCCCAATTTGGAGCAGAACAGTAGGACGTTAAACCCCATTTCATTTCATTTCATTTCATTTCATTTCACCAGGAAGATCCTGTATTGACTGAGATTATCTTGTACAGAAGAGATGTCTCTACAGAAACTAACCCATTTCTCTACATGTATATCTTACTGTAATAATATAGACTTGTTACATCGATTAACTCACGGACCAGGACGTCCCGGTTTCAATCCTGGTGTTGACTGAGAAAGTTCCTGTTATATGTAACAACATCTTGTACAAGAAACTAGCATTAGTCTGTAGGCTGGTTGGATGGCCGAATGGTGTGGGCCATGCGCGTTGTATCATAAGGTCTGTCATTGAGTCAACTGGCGTGGTTTCGATTCCGGGGTTGTACGTGACAAGGAATAGGATCAATAGGATCGCCTGTCCCACCTCGTTGGTTTTCTCGAGGTCCTCTGGTTTCCTCCCACTGCTAAAAACCTCAACGCGCAAGCGAATTATTGAAATAAAATTGAACCATGTGTTAGTCCGGAAAAGACCTAGTTTGTGTTGAGTGGATGTTACCCCCCCCTCTCTCTCTCTCTCTCTCTCTCTCTCTCTCTCTCTCATATATATTGGTAGAATGATATATTTAGTATATGTATTTGATATGAACAGTGGGGTGTTAAATTTAATTTCATTTATATTTGATATGTTGTAGAGATTTTATGTGGTCAACAGATGGTAGATTTAAATATCATTGATCATTGAACTCAGTTTCAAAAATCATTTTCTACTTTTGTTTACCTAATCAATAATTGAAAGGTCACAGTCTCTTTGATTCAATTGAAAATGAAATTGTTCGTTTGAATATTCTCAATAGGTTTGTTCTTGGAATAGAGATTTCTTACTTCAAGACAGGATAAAGTCGCAGTATTGATTTATAAAAAAACAAAATAAACTCCTATCCGTCTTTGCATGGTGTTAAACCATGTATTTTTGAATCTTGTATATCTCCACATTTCTCACATACAAAGTTTGAAAACTCTAATGCTTAAATTAGTGTTAGAGGGGGGGGGGGGAATGGCCAAATGGTTAGCACATGCGCGCTGTATCATAATGTCTTTCATTGACTCAACTGGCGTGGTTTCGATCCTCCGGTTTCCTCCCACTGCTAAAGACCTCTATGCAAATTATTGAAATAAATTTGAACCATATGTTAGTCCCAAAATGACGTAGTTTGTGTCAATTGGACGTTAAACCCCATTTCTCTCTCTCTTTCTTAAATTATTTTGTAAGCAAATACATTAATTAGGTGACATTATAGCGGCATTAACAATGGGAATTATTCAAGAATATAGCAAGTAATGGAGCTTAAACGGTTAGAATTTCTAAATAAATATGAACGGTTAAAGGCTGATAAATGAACATAAAATATTCTGGCTTACAAAGACTTGTTGTCACTCATTCTGCACATCTACTTCATACTCCAAGAATAGATCTCTGCCTTAAATAACCGCCATATCCAAAAATGAGTATACTGTTTTGAAATGCGTTTTTACTCCGTTTCACATTTGTCATACACACAAAGACGGAATAAACTTTTTCAATTTTATTAAATGGAAGCCGAATAACTACTTAACAAAAATTCTTGAAGTATACTTAGTGTTTTTGATTAAAATCGTAGATTTAGGACCTAAAATGTCGGTCAAATAGCTTAGTGTCTGTTCTCAAGCGGAGCTAATTGTAGACAGACAGCCTAAGTTTAGTATGGTTGTCACTTTAAAGATACATTATGGGCGATTCGATAATGAGTTAGCAGTTCTCACTATAATGATTAAAAACTAGATAACGTAAAGGCAATTTGCTGAAAATTTCATTCAAATTGATCCACTATTAACCGAGAACGAAGCGAATGAAATTTCTGCCTAGCCTCGGTCATCATTACTAAAGTCAGTACGATAAACAGCATAGTCTCGATTATCCATTTAATCGTTTAATCGAGAAGGAAAGTTATGCAGTAAATCGGCTCACAATCCACTTAAAAGCGCAGGCTAGCGATGCCATCTAGAGTTGATTATGGTCTGGATAAGTTAATTAATGTCTAATTAATAATTTAGATCACATTTTAGGCCTAAAGAAAGACCTGCAATAGACAGATTTAGCTCTTGCATAATGTATGTTTAAGTAAACTTACTGACTTCCATTTCGCTAATGTAATGAAAATTCTCAGCCGGACACTTATTGGTATAGAATGTCAGATCAACCTAGCTCACCACTTTGTTAGATCTAAAAAATCAAGGAATCCTGCCCCTCCCCTCCTTTCCTTTCAACTCGAACAAAGAATGATTACCCTAAAATTGGGTAAATGTTTTATTGATTTCATACACAAATTAGATACGCTTGTATAAGTAACTATGGAATGCTGAGCTAGAATTGCAGGAATTCATGTATCGATTGAATTAAATCTTATTCAGAATGGCATGGTTTCGATTCCCTGGTTGTAAGTGACAAGGAGTAGGGTCCCCTGTCCAACCGCGTGGGTTTTCTCCAGGTCCTCCATTTTCCTCCCACTGCTAAAGACCCCCTAGGTGCAAGCAAATTGTTGAAATAAAATTGAACCATATGTTAGTTCTGACCTAGTTTGTGTCAAGTGGACGTTAAACCACATTTCTCTCTCTCACTCAGAATGACACAACACTTAGCTTCTCAACTTCAGTCTTGCTTCAAAATTTTGAAGTCTTTGATATGCCAGATACATCCAATGAAAAATCCACTTTTCATTAGAAAATCCTTACTCAAACCCTAAAGTTATCCCCCGTTTGTAACAAATTATATTTTGAGACAATATGGAATGGAAGAAATAAATCTGAAACGGTAATTTTTAATCATTTCAAATTAAGCCTTGCTATCGCCCCATTGATGACACCACAAAATTATCGTCGACAAGTAAAAATGGCTAGCTTAAGTCGCTTACGATTAGAGATGAATGAATGAAACAGAGCTTGATGGCTATATTGTGCTAAACTGCAGTTAGAGATCTGATCAGTCAAAATGGTGATACAATTACAGAATGTGAGTGCCATGGTGGTTTTCCCATTTCATAGTAGTATCACATGACTTACAAGCCAGTTTCTTTTGGCTGACTCAGCTTGTGTTTCAACATGAAGTCATGTCACCCGAAGTTGGATAAAAATCACTAAAAAACATGTAAAAATAAGACTAACTGCTGACACTTAAAAGCGACAGATTATTTTTTTTTTTTTTTTTTTTTTATCCTTGATGCCAGTCACAGATAACCCAGTTAAAACATGGCTTGCAAGCCAGTTCCTTTTGGGTTGCTCGACCTGTGTTGTAACATGAAATCATGTCACCTGAAGCTGGATAAAACTCACTAAAGATAAGACACTAAAAACAACAGATTAGTTTGTTTTTTTATCCTTGATGCCATTCACAAATAACCCAGTTAAAACTTGTTTTTATTCATCTTAAGGATGATGTAAGCCCAACTTCACTTTTATTTTATTACATTACTGGAGATGTGAAGTTGTGAAGCATGCCTTGCAATATGTCAGGGACACAATCTAGATTATATAATGAGTATTGATATTTTATTATATTCAGAACCTGTGCCAGTCAGAAGAGTAGATAATCCATTTGCTGTACAGCGACCGCATGCTACACCCGAGTTATTTAATCGTCAAGGCTCCTTCAGAGGTTTCGAAAAATTACAAGAAGCATCGTCACCGTTTAAAAGAACACTTTCACTACGCCTGAATGACCTCCCATCCACACTTCAACGACAGAATGCAATCATGGAGTCACCCAGCGCTAACGGTGGTAAGCAAATTACTTTAGTTACGACCATATATAGATAGAGGGAGTCTGGCAAATTGTTGTCTCTATTTTTCGCGTTTCTGGCGCTCCCACGAATTTGATATTTTTAAGTATTGAGAATTATGTGTTTGAAATTTGCGCTCTCTCTCTCTCTCTCTCTCTCTCACATAAATTGAGTAACAAAATGAGAGTTGGCCAGACTCTATCTATATATATCCCTGTTTACGACAAAAGACTAATTGTAACTAAATATACCACATGTATACTCAGAATCAATATTACATTACTTGATGATATTATGTGATGGAAATTTTATCCGATAATCGCAAGAGTAAGCATCGGAAGAGTAAGCGTCTGATTAAGAAAAAAAACCAGTCCTCCATTGATTTTTCAGGGTAAAAAGTGGGAGCGTTTAATGTCAGATGTATAAATTTGTCTGAATTTAGATATAAAGATTGAAATCTACATTCCTACCATTCTAATATTAAACTTATTTATCTTATAAATATTTAAGTGCATTTAAGTCTGGCTTTCTGATTAAAAGACAGATCTATATTTCGGTTTTTTTTTTCTTATACTTTCGATGGCCTAAACTAAATGATGATCTGACCGGTTGTACTGGAAGGTCGCATCAGGGGTCGTTTGAGCGACTTTTGGCGCTATGACGTCAGACATTGATTAATCAATCAGTGTTGATGTTTCTAGTGGTTTACCCACAGTACTGTGCATCGCACGCCAAGAACTCAACGTAAAAGACCGTTTCATTGGCTAATCCCTCACTTCAACCAGAAAGCTGGTTATATAACAAATCTTCCAGATCCTAGTGTTGTGAAGACAAGTAAAACAAAATTTTGAACTTTAAAAAACGAAATGAAATAGGATCTGTGTTTTAATCAGAAGTGTTACACAAGTAAAATCTGCTGTGGTATGTTTCCTGTATATCCCATCTTTAGTCCTTGGATTGTTGTCAATTTGGTATGTTTGCTGCATATATCCCATCTTTAGTTCTTGAATTGTCTTTGATTTGGTGTTCATCCAGATTTTCCGGCGTGGCTCCCCCTTATCAGTGATGCAGGACGGAGGGCCTAATAAGGACGGCTGTCTAGTCCTTCGGGTGAGACAAAAAACCGAGGTCCTGTGTATACATTGGAATGCACGTAAAAAAATCCTTTGGCAGTTGGAATTCGATATAAGAGTAGGCGATAGTGCCGCTGCTTGGTCAAAATTTCCCTCATAGCACACTGTATGGCGTATGCCCATCTTCATAAGCCCAGTATAGGAGCAGAACATTAGGACATTAAACCTCATTTCATTTCATTTCTTAGATTTGGTGTGTTTGTTATATATGTCCCATTTTTAGTCCTTAAAATGTTTAAAGATTTTTAACTTTTATTATGATTTGTAACATGATTTGTAACATTTATTATGACATATATTTACAGCTGTAGGGGGAACAATTCATGAAGAGTCTCCTGAACAAGAAGATTCTATAGCTCAGATGTGTCAACAATTAACCCAGGGTTTAACGGCCTTGACATCAGACGAAGCTTTTAATAACACTCCCACACGTCGAGGAGCAGAGCATCATGGTCTTAGTCTTCATCATCAACACTCGGCTCCGTCATTCCAGCCCCCATCAACAACATCTCTACCCCGACAAAATACCATACCTTCAAGTAGTAAGTATATTTGTAACATGGATGGTAAATCTTCCTTTGTTCTTTTCGTTGAATAAGCAGATTGTTTTCCCTCTAGTAGATTGGGTGGAGATTAGCCAGGCAATAACTAGACATGTTGAGGGGTTGGATGATCGAATGGTTAGCACGCGCGCGCTGTATCATACGGTCTGTCATTGAGTCAACTGGTGGGGTTTCGATTCCCCGATTGTACGTGACAAGGAGTAGGGTCGCCTGTCCAACCTCGTGGGTTTTCTCCAGGTCCTCCGGTTTCCTCCCACTGCTAAAGACCCCCACGCGCAAGCAAATTATTGAAATAAAATTAAACCATATGTTAGTCCCGAAATGACCTATTTTGTGTCGAGTGGACGTTAAACCCCATTTCTCTCTCTCTCACTAGACATGTTGAATGTTATTGCACACTTATTACACTAGTTTTAGTAGAAATGCATGAAAGCCTTGCTATTTTCAGGACACAATTAATCCACACTTCCACTGGGCTTTGGTGGCCAAGTGGTCTTGACACATATACTTTAGATCATAATGTCTGCCTTTCAATCAGATGTCATGTTTTTGACTCGGACAACTTAGCTGCTGTGGGCGTATGTTTCGTTGCCTGGCAGCCTATCTTCTATTGTGTTGACGAGCCATTGATCACCAGTTTTCTCTGTGGTTAAGTCAGGTTGGGTGGTCGAGTGGTCTAATGTGTGTGCTTTAGATCATAAGATCTGTCATTTGAGTCATGCAGGGTGGTTTCGATCAACATTGTGCATTTTCCCTGGCTTTTCCAGTTTCCCCCCGCACATGACCCCATGAAATAGAAATTTATACGTTTGTCCGATAACGACCTGGTGACTTTAAACAAACTTCCTCTCTCATTATCATTATAGGTGCAGCTTAATTATAGATCTTCAGCTATGATTACTTTTATGAAGCTTTCATAATCGAGATTCTTTAATATCGTTTACGGCTTTGGTGTTTGGCTAATAAGAATTAATAAAGCCATGTTTTGGTATGAACTTGATAGTTATTTTCAGATTATAACTCTTTGTTTCTTTTTCTTCCAGCCTATATGTCACAAGCAGCCCCACAAACCAATCCATGGGCCTCGAATAACGCGGAAACAAATGGAACACACAATCAGTACTGGAATAAACCCACATCTCCTACAAACCCCTTCGTATCTCAACCTGCCCGTCAATCCGCGGCTTCCGCCGCAGTCGTCAATGGTGTGCCTTTGAAAGGCGATAACTTTACCCAACCCGTTCAGGCCCATCAACGTTCGAATGCCTTCCAAAATATGCGTAGCCATTCCATAGACACTGGAGAACTTCCCAGTGCAGCGTGGGCACAAGCTCAGAATCGTAAACCTACATTATTGCAAATGGCTGCTCATCAAAGAAGTTTTCAAGAAAATGGAACAGCAGATACAAGTAATTGGGCTACGTCTGCCCTTTCGACCACAAGTCCTACTCATTCTAAAAGCCAGGGTGTGGATCCTTTCGACGTGGCCTGGGCTGCTAAGCAGTCCAATAAAAATAGTAATCCATTCGGATCAAAATCTGTGAAACAATTCGAAGTTCAATTATAGTTGTGCTAATAATAGTGTGCTAATGATGGTGTGCTATAATGGTGGGCTATAATAGTGTGCTAATTAGAAAGAAGGGGTATTCAAAAATTCAATTGATATTAATACTGGCGAAATGGGATAATGACGGATTTAAAATTTCAACAGAGTGACTATTGAGAAATATATGCTGGAATCAACAACCTTGCGTGTTTTATATATCAACCTGATAATATACAAGATTTAGCGTGAAATAAAATTGCGCGGAAATGCACCTTTACAGTGCGGATGATGTTTATATACTGTATATCCATGTTGTTGTAAATATATTGGTGATACATCCATTGTTCAGATTATATATAGACTCATGTTATTTCACCAATACCATCAACGCCCATCCTGTGTTTTCGTTCAGTTAATATATATATATGTATTAATGTATTGCACGTTTTTCATTATATCAAAGCAAAGAGACAAATATAAATATTATATATATATATATATCAAACATTAATTACTTAAATAATAAATTATCATAGACATTAGATTCATATTATAAATATACACAAATGGCCACTCAGAAAAAATATCCTGATTCTTAATTCATCCGTTAATAAAAATCGGTATTGTCCCCATTTTGCAAATTAAAAAAGTAATAAATTGTCCCCGTTTTACAATTTAAAAAAGTAATGATAAGTTTAATTGCATACTCAATCTTAAACATTGAGAGAATACTGGGAATAATAATTTTAGGTATATTAAACAATGTTTATGTTTGCAAATTCCTTTTCAATGTGGTGCTTTTGTATATTTGAATTTAATAGTCGAACCTTGATCCTTAAAATTTAAGGCTTTGTGATTATTGACCTGTCTCTGTATCTTAGACGCTGGCTCACTAACCAGGAGGCCCCCAATATTGATCCCTGCTTTGAAAGAGAAAAGTCTTCAGGATTTTCAAACCTGGTTTCCCCTTGTCAATGAGAACTGTCTAGCCCTTCAGATGGGAAAACACAATCGATCACTTACATGTAGACAGAAAAAAAACCTGATATTAGGCAAGATTTAAACATCCGACCACATCATTTCTTTTTTTCAAGGATTGTTTTAAGAACCAGATATTATTTTTGTTCGGCCTAGTTGTGTATAATTAAAATAATCAAGATTTACAGTAAGATAATTGATTTTAAGAACTACAACATGTTATGTATTAAACAAAGTGTGGATAATATGAAGAGTCGATTATTAAATATGAATTTTATATTTGGTCTAATTTGATGATTTAATTAATTGTCTAATTTAATTAATTTGTCATTTTAAGAACTTTTTATTAGCTTGTACTCAGTAAACACACATTCATATTTATCATTGATAGGGAGAAGCGCTGATGCATTGGTAAAATTCTCTCTTGCTTTGCTTTACAAATGGCCGACAGATCACTGGGTGCTGATAAAAATTTTATAATCAAGATTATTTTGTCATGGTCTACGTATTGGGGTCCAACCTTGTGGGTTTTCTCCAGTTTCCTACCATTGCTAAAGATCCCTATGTGCAAGTTAATTATTGAAATAAAATTGAACCAAATGTTAGTCCCGAAACGACCTAGCTTGTGTCAAGTGGACGTTAAATGTCATTTCTCCCTCTCTCTAAGTTTTGGCAATGTCGAATAGAGAAGAGATATCTGGGTAAAAACTTCCCCTTGTTCTGCTTAAAAAATTTTTGCGACAGTTGCCTTATTTCCAGCCTTTCAACAACTTTAATAATCAGGATTATTTTGTGATATATGTTTGGGGGGAAGCCGAGATGTGGATGCCTTGGTTAAATAAAATTCTCTGTTATTTGAATAACAACCAGGTTATGTGAGTGATAAATATAGATGTATGTTTACTGTGTGTTATTTGGTTGTAAATTTATTTTACCTCATTCATTTATTTTAACATATAATAGTGCTGGTGACGATTGTGTGACTTAATAACGCAAATCAGGCAGTGAATTTCAAATTGTTGGATTAATCAAGTTGGATCTGTCACAGGATATTGTTATCAATTTACATGTTATCTTAACAGTGTCAGTGTGTCACGTATTTGTTGTCTGTACAATACTGTAGGATAACCAGTATAATTCTACACTTGTAATGCAGATATGACGGGTTACGGGTTTCACCGGGATGATAACCAGTATAACTCTTAGACTTGTGATGCAGCAATGACGGGTTTCATCAGGGGGTCGTCAACTACGCAGTGTGAAACCCTAAATTTGGTATTTTCATTGGCTGAGAGTTAAGATATGTACTAGTATTTTAACTCTCAACCAATCAAAAAGCTGCATTCTTAAAAGATTTTTGTGAATAACACTTACGTGTACCACAAGTCTAAACCCCACAGACATTCATAAAATTTTAAATCTCCTAAAATGGTATATTTTCATAATCCAAAATTACCATGTTGTTACCAAGTATTGATTTTATGTTGCAGTTGATTTGATTTTTTATCAGACTCTAGAACTTGATTGATTTAGCAATTTGAAATGAACCTGACAATATTATTAACGTTTATTTCATTGGTCAGACATATCTCTGCGTGAAGTTTTACTTTCATTTTAACATCTTTCTGTTAGTTGTATATATACGTATATTTACCTTTCATTGACTCGAATATTTAAACCTAATAAGCACCTGGCCATAAAACTTTTTTTTTTTTTTCTTTACTCGGAGTTGTACATTAGTCTGGTGGTCAGGACACGGGACTTAAATGTCTTTGCTTCATATTTCAGCATCGGTCAAGAAAAACATTTGTAGGAGATGGCAAACTATTGTGTAACTGTGTACAAATTGGTTAGACATTAAACCATTGTGTAACTATGTACAAATTGGTTAGACATTAAACCGGTTTCTATCGCTTGTGCGTTATCATATACCCAATCCTGAACATAAGGCTCCGATCACAGACTTTATCAGGTAGAAATCATCACACAACATATAATACCTGTAATTTCAACACTTATTTTACACTTACTTGCTGTGAGGAAACTTGAGTTCAGCCAGAAAGAGTAAAGTTTTATGGCCCCCTAGGCATAGGCCTGTCATTTTACGCAACACATTTTTTGTGAAACAAGAAACCAATGGAGATGTCTAACATAATATCATTCAGTTGTATTGTAGTGGTTTTGTGAGGATTGGGAAAGGTCCCTTTATTTTGAATAGATTGACTTCTATTCAGAGGGAACTATACTATCTTAATAATACATATTTTGATAAGTATGGCAATCCATACAGTTGTTGTAATGCATTTTTTGATAGAATTGGCAATCCATACAACTATATCTTTAAATGTTTTTATGTTTCACAAAAATGTCTATGAACAAAGTAATAAATAAAATTAGGGCATAAGAAACTCAAATTGATTTCTGTATAAGACTTTGATTTTATCAGTAAAGCAGGGTACGATTCTATTGTTTTGTATATTGTTTAATGTTCTTCTTGAAATTTTAAATTCTTAAATTTCATAAAATGCTGGTTCATTCATCTTTTTAAATAAAAAGGTTGTCTTTCAGGGTTTTTATCTTTAAACAAAAAAATTGTAATTTTGTGCATAATAATTGATTTTTGATTTCATCATCATCATTGATTGATTGGTTGATTGACTGATTGATTGATAATTGAGTCATCATACTATACAATGATGTGGCGTAGTCAGTAATTTTCGAACGCAGTGGCTCAGCCACCGAACTATGTTTGAATATTGATGTATTTCTAGTAATTCTTTTTAAAATTGCGCTGTTATCACTTTATATGTCATGGTTTTGAAAGTCACATTCTCATCAAGTAAAATTCCATGTTTTTGACTTGTAAAATCAAAAAATTTATTTAGACATTGAAGTAGGTCTTGTAACAGGATTGGAGCTGAGGACAGAAATACCAGGACTTAAACAGAAATCTTAAGGCCATATAAGACAAATAATCTGGTTCCCGCGTCATTTAAAAATGGCCGCATGACCATTTTTTAAAAAAAGTAAAAAAAAAGTATTTAATTACCGCAAGTAAAAATTCTTTTACTCAGACAATCCTTTGCTAAAATCGGAGAAACAGAATTGGGGGGGGGGGGGTGTCTTTTTTTGTAAGGCCCAATTCAACATTTTTTGGGGGGCGAGTTCAAGTCACCAAGGATAAGCATCTGACTACGCTACAGATCTTACATTCTGAATATGTTACAATAAATATGATTGGTTGTTTTTATTTTAAAAGAAAATAATGTTTCTTTTTTTTAAATTTTAATTTGATATCAATTAGTGCTGAAACTTTTTAACATCATCTCATATCATCATCCCTGATTTTTTGGGGGGTTTTGTAAATACGCATTTTAACTTGGGTCTAAAATTCAACTTTCAGTTTATATATATATATACCATATAAAAAATGGCCATATTAATTTTAGGCAATAAATGTTAGGTGGGTACTTTTAAAAGATGAAATAATTAGCACGGTTTTTAAAATAGAAATTCAATTCTTTGTAAATTTATAAATAAAACAAATGATGTAATTTTATGATTTTATAAAGAATATTTTTTGTCTATTTTATTTCGGTAGAAAAGACTTATAACGTGGCCTATATATATGAAAAATGATTATTTTTATACAAAACTTGACTTTATCCCCCCTTTTTTTTTTAATTTGAAATTGTAATCATTGTTAATTAAGAGGCTTTCAAGTTTAAATGCTAGATCGCATTGGCTTGATGTCTTGAAGCAACTATATGTGACCGAAAAATGAGTCGAAAGTCGCAATTCATTGTTATGATTATAATATATGAACAAAAATATCGAAATAGGCTACAAATATAAAAAAAAATTTAGTTTGCTTTATTTGTCAAATCTAAACTTTTACCATTCGTGTTATATTATTAAAAAGATATTTTTAGCCTATTTTTAAATTTGTGTTCATTTTGCTATCACTGCAGGTCACTTATGTAAAAGTGGTTATATCTTCACATTATACAGATTCTCTCTCTCTACTGCCTGATGCATCAGGACCTTGCTGTGTATCGCAAACCAGTATATTATGTCCTTGTATATAATTAACCAGTGTTTATAACTCACTTGTTGTGTATAAAGTGTATCATTAAATATAATTTATATTCAATTCAGGTGATCAAACAGAATGTATAATAATATCCACACATTACAAATTATAATCTTTTGTTGTTAGCTGGGTTTCCATTTTTAAAAGTTATCTGAATAATTAGTTAAACCTATCAACTAAAATGCATCAATTAATTATGATAACATTGGTCCAAAAGTGTAAAAATACTTAATTAAATTTTTTAATTACCAGTAATTTTATATATCCAATTATTTTTTATTTATGTTAACATCAAAATCTTTAGTATGTAATTGATTTGTAATGGTTTGATAAAATACCAATTGAATTAAAAGATAAATTAAAATAATATATAAAATGGAATAAAAACAAAAATTTAGATTTTAAAATTGAAATAAGCAAAATGAAAAAATAATTTTATTCAATTGATTTCGATAACTTGTATTGTGTGGATGTTTCTATATAAGCTTTAATTGCTAAAATATGTACAGTAATTCTCTCTTTTTATATATATATATATATATATATATATATATATATATATGTACACCTTGATACGACGACCAATAGATTATCTTTGTACAGTTTCTATATTAGTTGCTTCTGATCTAATCCTGCAATATTTGTTATTATCATTAAAGTCTATGTTATCCTTCTATATAAATGTTTTATTTTTTTTGTTTGCTTCATGTTAGGAGAGGGGGGGTTGGATGGCCGAATGGTTAGCAAGTGCTCGCTTTATCATAAGGGCTGTCATTGAGTCATCTGGCGTGATTTTAATTCCACGGTTGTATGTGACAAGGAGTAGAGTCGTCTGTCCAACCTCGTGGGTTTTCTCCGGGTAGTCCGGTTTCCTCCCACTGCTAAAGACCCCTCTCTCTCTCTTTGTTAGGAGCCACAGTGGCTCAGTGGGTAAGATATTGGCTCACTGACCTGGAGATCCTGTGTTCATCAGGATTTTCCAGGGTGTTTGCCTCTTGTCAGTGGTACAGGACAGATGGTCTGGCAAGGGACATTGTATAGTCGTTCAGATGGGACAAAGAACCCTTGGCAGTTGGAATTTGATATAAGAGTAGACTCTAGCAGTAAAATTTCCCTCATAGCAAGAAGTAGGGTCGCCTGTCCAACCTCGTGGGTTTTCTCCAGTTTCCTCCCACTGCTAAAGACCCCTATGCGCAAGCGAATTATTGAAATAAAATTAAACCATATGTTAGTCCCGAAATGACCTAGTTTGTGTCGAGTGGACGTTAAACCCCATTTCTCTCCCCCCCCCCCTCTCCACATGATGTGAGGTCACCTGTAGAAGGCATATCTGAACTTATAAAGATCAGTCATCCAATACAGAGGTATAAGAAGGCTTTCACAATACCTCTGTGTAACTGATCGGTGCTGGAAGGCAGTTCTGGAAGAAATAAAAACAAAAACAAAGTCATGTGTATGCCTCTGGCTGCACGTTAAAGATCCCCTGAAAGAAAAATAGGACATTAAACGCAATTTCAAATTTTACACTGTTACACCCCTTACAAGAATAGGACCAGACATGACAATTGCAACAAAAACTTACCTTTTTTCGACTAATGTCCTCCAAGCATGACAATGCATAGATTATTCCATGATATGTCAAACGAAAGATAAATAAAGATACATTATGGGAGATTCGATAACGAGTTGGCAGTTCTCACTATAATAATTAAAAACTAGATAAGGTAAAGGCAATTTGCTGAAAATTTCATTAAAATTGATCCACTATGAACTGAGAACTAAGCGAATGAAATTTCTGCCTAGCCTTGGTCATCATTACTAAATCCAGTACGATAAACAGCATAGTCTCGATTATCCATTTAATCGTTTAATCGAGAAGGAAAGGTATGCAGTAAATCGGCTCACAATCCACTTAAGATCGCAGGCTAGTGATTATGGTCTAGATAAGTTAATTATTAATGTCTAATTAATAATTTAGATAACATTTCAGGCCTAAAGAAAGACCTGCAAGAGACAGATTTAGCTCTTGCATAATGCTGCCCTACAAAAGAGAAAGGCAGTATCTGCAACATAATTATAGTGTAGATACTGCCTTCTTCCTTTGCACGGCAGTATGTATGTTTAATCTTCAAAGCTAGTAATAATAGTGGCCCTCAATGATTTTCTTGGAAGATTGTAGGACGTAGGTGGCATGCTTTGACCATTTTTGGTTTATCTCTGGCAGAGAATGCTGAATACTAACAAATTTTCAATTCATTGTATCTTTGCCTATGCTTTCACAATATTGTGGTTTGCAAGGGATTAAATTTCCCTCAAATGATTATCAGTGATTTTAATGTGGATACATGAAGGGATTAAACTCCCCTCAAATGAAGATCATGAATGTTGAATAACACAGACTTGTCCTTTTTTGACTGCTGCCATTTGCCCAATGTCCTTCCAGCATATTTGCTGTGAACTCGGAAACAGATATATTTGCTTGATTTAGGATTAAGAAACTATAAAAACACATACTCCAATCGGTCATGAAATTTAGGCAAACGAAAAATCTTATAGCATATAAATGACCATTTTGGGTTTATTGCTAAAACATTTAACAATCAACTTGTACAACATAAAATTTGTATGAATTTGATGTAAAAATTATGAATGATAAGTTTTATTCATGATGCATTGAGATTGTGAGTTAAAGTAAAACTACAATCCGAGAATATTTCTTTCCAGGGTAATGTTTTATTTTGAACTATTTGATTTTTCATTGTGGAAATTAATGGCCTTCATTTTGGGCATTAAAGGGAGACCACCACAGACTCATTATTTGCCCAATGTTAAATGGTTGTAACTTCACAGTTGACAAGGAGTAGGGTCACCTGTCCAACCCCGTGGGTTTTCTCCGGGCCCTCCGGTTTCCTCCCACTGCTAAAGACCCCTATGCGCAAGCGAATTAAGGAAATAAAATTATACCATGTTAGTCCCAAAATGACCTAGTTTGTGTCGAGTGGACGTTAAACCCCATTTCTTTCTGTCTCTCTCTGTAACTTCACAGACTGTAGGTTTTTGCTCATTAATCCGTTGGCATCAATCTTTATAGGCACATAGGGGACTGCATTTGACAATCTCCTCATCATAATTTTGTAGGCGGTTGACCGTTTAGATTTTTTGATGTGGGAATTGAGGTTGACTAGGGTCAAAACTCATTTCCGACACAATGATTGCTCTGCAGAAAGACACTTTACACCCCCACCCCTCCGCTGTAATATTATCAATATTACCAAAAACTGCTACGAAATTGCAAATTTGATCCCTTTTCTCCAATTCTAGACCCAAAAGTCACCCAAAAATGCATGAAGAGGGGAGAAAAAAAAATTAAGGAAAAAATTGTCTATTTATAACTTGCACTACGTTCGTCCATCATGAAATAAGGGAAAATAATTATTAGTCTTAAACATATTCAAATAGCTAGTTTAAACACATGAAATTTATCTCTGCTAAAAGAGAGTGAGAAACAGGGTTAATGTCCACTCAACACAAACCAGGTCATTTCATGACAAACATGATAAAATAGTATGTCTTTAATTTGCTTGAACATAGGGGTCTTTAGCAGTGGGGAAAAGCTAGAGGACCCGGAGAGAACCCATGAGGTTAGGCAGACAACCCTACTCCTTGTCACAAACAACTTTAATCAATGACAGATCCTATAATCTAAAGTGCACAAGTTGGACCATTCGGCCCCTAAACCCCCATCTTACTAATGGAGTGGAAGTGTCCTCATTATACTGATATGATATTGCTATGTTCTACTTTTCTTCATGTATCGGACCAATGAGGATGACGATACGCAATGCTGCGTGCTGTGGGGAAGATTTTTCACAGGCGGTAGCATTTCCGCCTACTCTTCACATCTAATTCCAACTGTCAATTCCATCTCATTCAAACAACTAGTCACTGATTGGGGGAAACCACGCTGCAAAATCCCAGTGAACTTTCTCGGCCAACACTGGGATTGAACCCTAACTCCCTGGTGCCTTACTCACTGAGACACCGTGGCTCCCCAGAATTTTATCTATTAAATACGAATAAAATGATTTTATTAATTCAAACAAACTGATAAAAACACAAATGACATATTAAGTAACACTATTTGCGTACAAGTAGCAGCCATTTCGTCAAGAAGTTTCAAATCCAACCATCATTAAGGCGTAATGGTGATTCTTTAACGTTTTTTTTTTTAAATTGAACATAAATTTTGACGAGCTAAAAACATAATTTTGCGTACAATCAGGGGCCATTATTCAGGCAGTTATGTTCCGATATATCGAAAGGAACCAAGATCTTTGTGATATAAGCATAAATTTAAACTTCCATCAAAATCGGATA